TTTGTTTAGATTCTTCTTTTATATTTATATTTATCTTAGATCGGTACTTAGTTCATTTATTTTATTTCTGGCGTAGTCTGATCGTGGCGCTAATTTTATCTTTTTTTATTATTTTCTGTCTGGGGGAATTATTTCGCAATATACATTTTTGTTTTATCGTTTCTACATGGTATCTCTTTTAATTCTTACTTTAATTTCTTTAGGATTTTAATCTTCCCTGAATTATTTTTTATAAGGTTAGATACTTATTGACAAGCGGTGCTCTATTATTTTTAATGTTGTTATTATTAATTTTTATAATAAATATTTTTGATAGTTAAAGGTTTAATCAGGCAGTATACTTTACCTTTTCTTGAACTTTAGATTAAATTATCATCCTTATTTTTATTATACCGCTAGTTGTGTTCCATATATGATTCGATTGTAGACTGCGTGTAATAGACTAATCGTACGAATTATTTTTTTATTTTGAAGGTTCATTATTAGTTTTACTATTTATGTATTTCTTAAGGTCAAAAATCTAATGTTTGTGCGCGTGCTAAACTGCTCTATGGGTCAATGCAGGTACTCGAAAATATACTAAGCCTTGCCATTTAGACTGAAAGCACTTAGTACATATCACATTAATGTGAAACTGTGAATTATATTGAGTGGTTATAAATTTGTTTTTGTATATCTAATGTCTTTTTTAGAATAGCTCGATTTGTGGATTTTTCTAAAAGATGGTTTTACAATTCTTTTTAGCTTCACTGGCCGATCTTCTAAAGTAAACTTTGTATTTTTATCTTTATTAATTTGTAAATTTTCTTCTTTGATCTTCATTTTTTTCAGCATGAGGTTTCATATCTTTTCTAAGCACGCTGTAGATTCCCTACAATTTTGCTTTTGGTACTGACACCTTAACATTGTTTCAGGAAGGATGCTAAATCTTATGGTGTCTATCACAAAGCTAAAAAATAGCTTTGTCTAAATAGTTAAGAAGCCTTTTAGATAGTTTGGAGTGGTAACCACGTTGATTACTATTTTTTTTTCTACTTAACAGTTCTGTATGGTTACATGGAGGATATTAGGTAAAAACTCAATATTCCACTGTGATTCATTGGTAGGCCTAACTTATCAGCCACAAGCTTATACCGTTTAGAATATTATACGTTTACTGTTCATAAAAGGGTTATTTACAGTCTTATAGTGCTAGATCCTTCCGGTTTTCCAGTTACCACTCCTGCATTTTCATGTAATTTCCAGGGGAAGGAAAAGGTACACATTATAATGATTTATTTCTAAGGGGGGGAGGAGGAGGGGGAGTGGACAACACGAACGTCCTTGTGTCTTCATGAATGGGGTCATTTTCTTCAAACAAAAGAGGGTAACATCTCAGTTTTTTGAAACTTACACCCCTAATACCAATAAAACTGCACAATTTTCATCTACTTTTCTTCGCTAATCTTACTTCAGTTCACACAACGGAAAGATGCTGTTAGTAGTGTTTAGGGTATTACCTTGGCCGTTCTGTGTGAGGTTCCTTTTCTTCAAGGGTGGCTTTCACCTTTGTACATGGATATAACGCATTAGGTGATGTGTGTGTTGGATTCCATTATCTTTGTTACAAAGAAAAAAAAATACCTTTTACTATGCAGTCTCTTTGCAATCTTATAATTGCATCAATGCATACAGGAAAGCTACTCTCAGTTGTTACAGGTTTGAATACAATATTGACTCGAATACCGATAAAATCAAGAAAGAGGAAAATATATTATTTATTAATAAGCTGAGAATGTGCCGAGATGGCATACATTATCTCACGGACTGTTGACTTTATAGTATCCTTGATATTAAAATACGAGTCATTAGGTTTTTCACGCCTCTAACAGTTTTTTCCTCTCATATTCATTGAAATCATCTGCAATTTACCAGACTACTCATTTACCAAAATAGAAATAAAAAGAAATGAATGGCTTCCGTGTCGGACCTCAATCTTCTCGCGGAACAACTCTACACGAGTCCAGACCCGGGGCTGCGTCAGAGTGCCTATGAGCAGCTGAACTCGTTTACCCTCGAAGGCAGCGAACCGGGAGCGTTTTACACCATTCTTCATCAATCCAATAGCCAATATAGCCTACTTTTTGCTGCCCAGGGTCTTGTGACGTGGTTTAAACATAATTTAAAATACATCTCGTCCGAGGTTCGTCGGAGACTGCTTCGGGGGGAGGTCGGGGAATGTTTACTTCGCCTGGCCGAAGGGGGTGCCCCGCAGCACGTCCTGACGAGTATGTTAGTGACCTACGCTAAACTCACCAAACTGGCCTTTTTAAAAGAGCCCTACCTCCTCGAGGCTGTGGAATTTCCCATCGAGATGCTTCAAGCTTCGAACGGTTTGAGAGAAAACGTGCCCGGAAATAATGAAGATGCCGATCATAAACCTCGGGTGCTCGGGCTGATGTTGTTGGATGCGCTGGTCGTTGAATTTTCCAATTTTGACTCCGCCAAGTCGAAGACTTTCATGAACTTTTCCGAACACAGACGATGTAGTAATAACTTTCGCGATGAGTGTCTTCGCACGCTTTTTGAGGCCGCACTTCGCGATCTGGAGAAGATCGACGCGAGTTTTCTCCACGAGGTTGAGTGCAGTAACGGTAAATCCAGCACGCTCTTTCTCGCCGAAAATACGGTGGCGCTAGTAAAGAATTGCATGTGTTTTGACTTTATGGCGATTATCATCGACGAAACCGAGGAAGTTCTCTCCGCCCAGGTCCCCTCATCATGGCGGGACCTTGTCCTCGCGGAGTCTACGCAGGAATTGTTGTGGAGGCAGCATGCCGCACTGCCCTATCCCCTTTGCGCGACCCTTTTTAACGGACTTTCGGCGCTTTGCGGGATTCGACGAACATTCTTCGACGAAACGCCGCAGCGCGTGCGGTTTCTCGATCTCGTTTTAGAACAAATGGCTGCGATCGGCCAACTGCCGGATGGAAGGCTGCGGATTCCCCACTTTGCGAATCTTTACGGCGAGGCGTGTTTGCGCCTTATTATGCCCTTTGGCTATCGCGATCTGCACAGCAGCGCGTGGTTTTCGCAATGGTTGGAGGTCGTTCGGCAGGTTTCTGTCGATGTTTTCCGCGTTCCTTTCGGCGCAGAGGGTTCGTTTACGACGGCCTCGACGTTTTTGAGTTTTTGGGCCCGTCTGACGACCTCTCAGCGGATGTATTTGTCTGTCGAGGAGGAGACCACGCGAAAGGAGGTCGAGCCCATCGCACCGGCCTTGGCGTTGACCTTTTTTCAAACCCACGTTCACGCCCTCGGAGAAGGGGAGGGGGATTGTAGTGGAGAGCCCGCATTGGATTCCACGGTGGATCCAGATGACGAGCTCGAAACGGTGTTAAATCAGGCGGAATCTTTCGCGACTTTCGCCCTTTTTGAAATCACAGAAACAATGGAGCGGTTGGTGGAATATACCACGCAGCACCTCGGCCCGCGCGTGCTCGAGAGCCCCGTGGCGATGGGATGGCTTTTTTTCCTCGCTGGGTGCCTCGCTCGGCAGGTTTTGGCGAATTTAGACGGCTCCACCGCAATCCCGGCGTGCATGCGGTTCTTTATGTATTGCGTGGACTGCGTGAATTATCGCCCTTCGATCGCCTCCGAGGCTCGTGGGGAGAACTCGCCGGCGTGTCTTTTTGAGAACTTTGTTGAACGTGGTATGCTCCATTTTATCACCAGCTTTAGTGCTGTTTTTTCCAGCCAACACGTACACTATGAGTTAAGATCTGTCATCGAGGGCGTTTTTCAGTCTCGAGAACGCTTTGTCCAATTTATTTTGAATAATAGTGGTTGTAACATTTTACGGGATGGATCAAGCGACGAGGGAACGGTTGATATCATGCGGAAGTCGATTGATCTCATCGGCGAAGTCATCCGAGACCTCCCCAGGTCGATGTTAGATACAATTTCGTTAGATTTACCCCCTGTTGTGGACTTACCTTTAGCGCAGTCGATGCAAACGTACAAACTGCGTACGAACCTCTACGCGGTGCTCTGCCAGCTGACGCTCAAAAAGTCCTCCGAGCATGAGAATTTCCAAGTATTTTTCAGCTCCATTACAGATTGCATCCAGAACACCCTGAGCGGGAGTCCAGTCGGAATGGATCCATTGTTTATTGCAGGCTGGATGCGAAATTTGCGTGGAGTTGTGTTCGCGTTAGGCTCTGGCGCTGAATCCGAAGTCATTGTCGACTTTGCACAGTGGTTTTGTGAGGAGGCGGGATCCTTTGGGGAGATTCTCACCGGCCCTTCCGGTGAGTCCTCGATCGTTGTGAAGTCTTTTCTGCGGCTGATGATTGAGGTTGTGAGTAATCGCGGGATCCTCAGCGCCCTCCCCCGCGGCTGCGCCCACAGCGCCCTTGGGCTCTGCCTGTTCAAGCATCTTTGTCAGTTTATCCAAATCATCGTGGAGCGCGCCATTACGGATGAGCGTGTCCAGGCCGTGACCTCTTCCCACACTGTCTACCCTTCCGATAAGACCTACGACCTCATGCTGAAGCCCCTCGCCTTGTCGATGCTCTGTCTTCGCCGTTGTCTGGGTGGGGGCTTTGTCCCCCTGGGGGCGATGTGGTATTACCAGGACGACACCTATGACACGACCCTTCTTGGGCTCCTTCGCATGTTGATCGTCTTTCCCCCATGTCTCTTCAAGGACTACGCGAAGGCCGCGCATGCCGTGGTGGAGCTGCTCGGGGCCTTAACGGAAGGGGAGGGCTATGCCCCGCTGGGACGGCTCGCCACGGAGGAGCTCCACGCCATCTTCGACCTTACCCTTAGCCTCTGTGAGGAGGTCCACACCCCGACGGGGACGTTGCTCCACGGGATCGGCTTCCTGGGGTTTATGTCGGGGTTCGTGCGGGAGGTCAAGGCCCTGTCACAGCCCCTCGGGCCTGCCGAAGGAGGAGGAGGAGGGGGGACCTCTGGTTACAACAGCCACTCCAACACCCCCCCCCCGACGCCAATACCGCCCCCTGTGTATTACGGAGGGGGGCCGCAAGGTCAGGGGGGGCAGAACACCCTAAGCATTCTACGAACCGCGCGGGCCGCCCGAGAGGCGATGGCGCGTTTGATTGCGCCGATGGGAGATATTTGGCAGCGACTTTTGGCCGCCGCGATGGGGATTATCGTCTGCCAGGATCGTGCGTTGAGCGGGTGCTGCTCGGTGATTTACCCGATTCTCGAAACTCACCCACCTTTTTGGTATGAGTTCGTCGAGAACTTCGTGGAGGGGTACCCAACGCATAAACATCAGGCGATCCGAGAGGCGGTATCTCTTCTCACCAACGCCTCAGAGTCGTATGTGAAATTTTTTTCCGAAGTTGTCACCTTTCGCCAAAGGATGCGGGCTCTCTAAGGAATTAAGTATAAATTCCTTATTGTACAGCAAACGAGCTCCCCGCTAACCCACGAGGAGAGGTTAAAAATGAAATCATAACCTAAGTAACGCATACACATGTATACATACATACATACATACATGCATATATATATATATATATATATATATATATATTAAATCAGGTTTCATCATTTTTTTATTTACTAGAATATTATTTTTCCCATCGATGTGTTTGTGCCCTCGTTGTTCCTTGTATTGACTATGTTTTACTTGGTCGGATTTATTCGGATGACTGGTTTATCAATTCTGCCAAGAGTTGGTGCGGTGGTAAACTAACAAACAAACGAAATGGGCCATGAAGTCAAAGAAAGTATCGAGGGTGTGAATGAGAGTAGTGTGTATATTTGAGTATAATGAATCTCCTTTTACAAAATGGATGGGACGACTGGAGCTACGCATAGGAAATGCACTTGATTCATAAGTTCCTGCAGCTTTTTATGTAAACTTTGCGTGTGGGCCGTATGAATAAAGTTCATGTAGAGTGCGCCAAACAAAGTTTAATTAAACTGTTATGGAAAGGATTTATCTTTGTTGTAGTCGTCTCCCTTTTGTTATCTCCAAGTAAATCACAAGAGAGCTTCCTTTTTCTTTTAAGGGTGGTTTCACCATAGTGGAAACACACTATTCTGTAGGAGGTTCCCTGTCCATCGTCACCATTTTAATGATCCAACTAAATGTCAATTCGTCTTTTTCTTCTTCATCGTGTTAGGCTCAGGGTTCTTAGTTATACGAATATAATATTTTACTGAATATTACTACCTAAAAGAATCATTTTACCCCGCTAAATACCTTTAAGTAACTAAGAAGATCACATATTCCGAAGCTAAAAACACACACCCTATGTCAATTAACCGTACTTCTATAAGGAGAAAGATTTCTTTTCTAAGGAATCAAGATGAAAATAATTTGTCAAGCAACGTCGCCCATCATGATAATGAGTCGAATAATCCATTTGGGGATCTGTCACGGCAGGGAAGTCATCGCTTTGATAACCAGGAGGTAGTCATCCCAGAAGAATTACCTTTGAACAGGGAGTTCTCAGTGACGGTGCCCAGACAGACGAGTCTATCTTTCAGCAATGCACTTTTGATTTCAAACGACAAAATTAGTGATCGTTACCGCTTTCGTGTT